TCACCGATCATGCACTTTTTCACGGAAATTGGCCCGATTATGATCGGTGACCGATCGATCGGCACACCTCTAGTAATTACATCTGCCTCCTCTTGCTTCAGGCTTAAGGAGTCCTGCTGCAGTTTCTCAGACTGCTCGCTCTGCTAGATACCTATTAAAAAAGCGAAATCCAGGTGTGTCGTACATTAGAGAGGTGCTTGAATTATCCTTGTCTGTGTTTGGAGAAAGCTCAGCAGTGGTGTTAGTCCTCTCCACTTTGTGTTTGTATGCGCTTGAGTGGCTTATCTCATGTTTTGTGTTGCATGTGATGAGTGGCAACAGACCTGCAGGCTTTGAAAATCTTCCTCCCTGCTGATTAAACTTTAAGTACAGGTTTTTGAAGAGTTGCTGGCTTGTTTTTTTTTGTGATGTCTGCTTCTGGTGAAAGTTTTTCCCGCGTAAATCAGCTCAACTATCAGGCTCTGTGATGGCAAGATGAAACATGTTCTGCTCTACTACACACAGTGAGAAACTGCTCAGGGATTAAGCTGTTTGTCAGATAATTATCTTGTTGTTTTATTAGCTGTTGAACTGGGAAACTTCATTGCTCAGTGTAATTTGCACCACATTAAGGCTCTTTTTAACAATAAAGTTTAATCACATTGATTTCCTGCCATCACTTCTGTTTTTCTGTTGATCTTTCCCTTGACATAATCCTACATGGAGAGCTCACCATATGGAGCCGTGTACCTGTCGCCGCCGCCAGACAACAGCTGGAGAAGGTGAGACCAACCTTATGGTTTCTGTTTATTCTGCTTCCTCTCACCGGGATGCCACAGTCTTTCCTCTCTGTTCTGATCCAAACGCCAGAATTTTCCCTATCAAACCCGGATCACAGATGTGAATGAGAGGGGAAGCTCTGAGTTGAAGGGTGGAGCTGCTGGAATTTCAGCTCAAATGTTTAAAGTGTTAGAATGCTGCGTGAACCGCATGGAGGCTGAAAGTGTTTGACAGGTAGCCTTTTCCTGTAAAGGTCATGCCCAACAGCAGATTTTCCACTGTTAGGGTTTGTTGTGCTGTCACTGAATATCTCCGAACTCATGCAGCACAATGTGAGACACAAGGTTTTCTTTTCTCCAACCAGCTCTGGTCGTGCCCACACAGAGCAGCAGCGTATTGGTCGGCAGCTTTCTTTCAGTGTTTACAAGGGAGTGAATTATGGGGCTGAGATAAAAAGCCATGCCAGGCTCCTCCCCGCTCGCTCGCTCGCTTTGTCTCCGCTCTTCTGTTTAGTATGCTGCCTTGGCCAGCTGCCAATCACCCTGCCTCGTCTTCTTCCACGACCCGGACGCTGGCCAAGCTCGGCGCTGAGCGTGCTGTGGCAGCTTGTGCTGTGGAAGCGAACGAGGCCTACACCCTCTCATTGTTGACGACACAGAACAGGTTGGCTGACAAATGTCTTTACGGAGCAACCCGACGTCAGCGCTCTCAGGCTGGGTGGGATTCTCCGACAGACATGTGGCACCAAGCACTGGGAGCGGACTCTTCACTTAAAACAACTTTACTCATGAATACAAAGGAAAACGAAGTATGCTGAAACGATTAATCACGATTAATCGATTTGTGAAATAATCGTCAACTAATTTAGTAATCGATTAATCGACTTTAAAAAAAAAAGACCATTTGGTAAAAGAAGCAACATATTGAGAGCAAGATTTAACCCAAAACTGTAAAGAAATATAAATAATTAGTATTTAGGATAAAAATACCTTTATCTGTAAATAGATTTTAGCTTCTCCTGGTTCAAATTTACTAGAGGAATCCTTCGTTATCGCATTTTAGTCAATAATATGTTTATTTTCATATTTAAGAAAGGAATTGAATTATTTGTTTATTTAAATCTTTTAATGTATTTCTAATGTTGTATAAAAAAGGCTTAAGTGGTTAAATGAAAAATCTGTGGAATGTGCCATTTCTTTTACTGAATAATCGATTAATTGGTTACTAAAATAACTGTTTGTTGCTTCCCGACTCTACAGTAAGGAATCATTTTATAAAGGGGTCCAGAAGACCGTTTGCTCATGATTTCTAAACAAAACTTAACAATTAGTTATTCTCAAAACAGTTTTAGATTTTAAATAATGAAATATATTTACAAAATGGGACCTCCAGAATGAGCAAAACAATAAAATAATTTTATTAATGTACAATAAATGGTTGATTACATTCACATTGATAATCAATCAAATGTGCATCTAATTGTTTCTGTAAACATTCGATGGAAAACAGAGAAAAATATCTGTTTTCATAGAACACATTCAGTATGCTTGGCTGTCGTTTCTTCATGATTTATTTATTTCCATGCCTCTTCTATTAGCTGCAGTTTGCAGGAAAACCACACTTAGTGTAAAAACATGCCAGTTATCATCACCTAACTTGAATAATTTCAAACTTTAGATCACACTGAGCTCTGAGATCAACTTTTTCACAACAATTTGGAGGAAATGTCTGCAACTCTTGTAAGAATGTTGAAGAAAATACTAAAAGATGAAATCATTACAATGATTTTAGGTAAGAATATGGTTTAATAGTGATAAAGAAATTGTTATCATGACAAAACAGAGTATATATTTTGGCATACGGATGCACTGATGCACAATTTGGGCCAATATCCAACACTAGTAGGGGTGCACCAGTTGATAATCAATAAGAACGCTGATAATGTTGTGAAATGAAATTCCTTAACTTAAGTGCACTAAAAGTTTTTATCATTAGCTAAAGAGCTAATCAAAAAAATTAGCTCTGCTACTAGCATATTAGCAGAGTAGAGGAAGTGTTCCTTGTGCTGCAGGTAATGAATGAAAACAGCTCAGATTGTTTAGAACATCAGCCAAAAATAGCTTTATCGCCTATTATCTACTGTTTTACTCTTTATAAATACATATTCCTGAAAAGGTTTTAGATTTTTGCTTCAACACACACAAAAAACCCAACAAATAAAAACAAAATATGTATATTGCCTGTAAATTTGCAAACTTAATGTTCAGAATTTGACCTCACTGCATGAGACTCATTCATTCAGCAGTACTAAAGATTGTTTAAGTCATAACTGCCATATTTCTTTTTAAGTATGATTTTTGTATCTTTTCCGTCTCTTCCAAACATGCATCGCTGTCATGTTGCTGCAGGCCATATTGAGCCTCCTGCTCCAACCTGCAGCAGATTGCTGTCACAGCATGCATCAGGGAGAAACTTCCTCCATAGCTGTGGAGTTTGGCCCACATCGCCTGTGAAAACACAGGGACACACAGGAGGGCCTCAGTGGCACTTCAACGGGCCCAGTCCAAACATGCAAGATACTTTTAAGAGCCTGAAGAGCAACCAGATTTTAGGAAATCTACCGTTAAAAGTCACCTGCAAAAAAAGGGACGCACCAATCCACATTTGTCTCTTCTGATACAGATACCTGAGGCTTAGTATCGTCAAATGCAGAAAAACAGTGCTGAGATGACTTTACAAAAACAGACATATACTATGTACTGAATTACAAATGTATTTGGGAACTGTGCACCAGTACAGGACATTTAAATACACCAACAGCTTCACAAGCTTGGTCAAATCTTTAAAAACAACTCGACTTCAATTTGTTCAGTCAGCTGATGTAAAATAAATAATAAAGAAACCAAAACTGACAAAAACAATAGATGGACTACTTTGGTAAAACATGTAAAAGATAAACTGCAACAAACCTTACAAATGGTTCAGAAAGAGCAATTAGGAATTATAAAAATAATGCAAAATAAATGATGAAGTATGATGTTACTCACAGCACAAATCATAGAGTTACACTGAACAGATCTGCCCTCGTAGATTCACTGATGCCCGATCTGCAATTTTTTTCAATACATAGTTCTCATGTGACATTACACTTCGTGAACTTCCATTACAGGCAGTTGCTATGGAGTTGCTATGACAACAACAAACAAACCTCAAGCTTAGAGCCAGCTCTCCCCTCATTCCTAACTTATAAACAATAATTTTATGTACATTTCAACTGATACTCAGTTACAATTTGAGTACTCTGTCCACCTATGTGTAATACTAAGATAAATATCAGATATTTACTGTAGCACTTACTGCTGAACTAGCAAAATTAGCTTAGCTACTGTAGCTTTTATTTGCTAGCTAAGACAGACATGTAGCCTACATGACTCTGCCAATCCCAGAACCTTGTTGTTCATCTTGTTCGTACGTCTTTTACAAAGCCGTTGAAACGTTGAATGTGTGCCTTTATGGATTCAAGACTGAAGCTCCTCCACGGTGTACGCCTCTTCATGTTCACCAAGTGGTGAACTGTGCCGTAGTATGAGATCAGAGGCAGCTTGTCCTCGTTGACTGACATGTTTTCATTCTCCGTCTCATACGGGTCGATCCTGACAGCAGCCATTTTGGTTTCTGTATCATTTTCTCACACATTAGTTGAGAGTGTCAACATATTTTTTGTTGGTCTGGAAGCAATGGGGGCACTATGCATTCCGTTTACCTACCAAGATGGCGGGAATCACTTCTGGTTCAGACTTGTGGGAACCAATGCAAATATTAGTATTGCATCTTTGCATCTCAGCCTGAAATCTGATGTTTTTATTGCTCCATATTCCTGTTTTGTATCAGAATGAAGACGCAGCTCAACGTTGTAGAGGAAACAAAGAATCTGTTTACTAATTATCATCAGAGCAAATTCTCCTCCATCACTGGGAGGAATACAGGAGTATGTTGAGAGTACAAAAAGCCCTTCATATCCAAACATCGTCCATGTGAAGTGTTTTGGCTGTGAGGGCAGATTCCCTGCTTGTCCATCTCCTGGGAGAGAGAGGCGCGGTAAGTGTTTACAACTCCAGCTACATCTGTGCTTCATTACCGTTAGTCAGCTGTGGACGAGAGCCTCAGAGCAGCTTTAACTCTTTCACTGCTGCAAACATCTGCAGTGCCCGTCGCACCAGGAGCAACAGGACGCAGGAGACGTGTGGCGTGTGTGTTTTAGGAAGGCTGACAGATATTTAGAGATCAGTGTTTCATCAGGAAAACGACTGATGAGTTGAAAACGTAAAGGTGATGCAATCAGGAGCCAACAGTGAGAGAAAACGAGTCAGGTGATTAAATGCCCCCTGCTGACCTCTGATTAACGAGCCTGGGTTACAAAACAATCTACAAACTGTAGTACATTATACAACCGCCCCTCCCCCACTTATTGATGCTTCTGTTACAGACCAATTTATGTTTCCAGTTCAGTGCTTTTGAAGTGGGGCTCTAATGAGAATGGTTGAAAAGTCATTATTTTACCTGCACAGGAAAACCCACTGATGAATTTTTTTTTTTTTTTTTTACTCAAATTAGGACTGGCGATCAATCGGTTTTATTGATTCATTTAATTTTTGGTTTTTGAAGATAAAATTTTTGGAAAATCTGGATTTTTTTTTTTACCAGTTCACTCCTTAGTTTTCCATAGTTCATCAGCGCGCAGAGGGCGGCCATCTTGTTTGACAAGCGTGTTTTACAGCTTCATTTATTTGGACTTTGAATTCAGATCAACTCTAAGACTGAATATTAGCACCAGGCTATGATTTTTTTAATTTTTATGACAAGGATACAGTCTCAATATTAGGAGAATCAAAACACTTGCACAAAAAATAAAACATTAAAATGAGGAATGTTGAGCGTCTTGTGAAGTGTCACTTTTAAAGATAAGGAAATACTTTTAACACATTAGTGTCGAATCGTTATCAGTAGCAGGACTTTGAAACAACTGAATCTATTTTGAGGAAAACGACAAAGTCATGTTTTATTTGATAACTATAGAAACTTTTTTCTCATTAAAACAACTTTTTCTCGTTTTTCTGGCAAACTGCATCTTTCCTCTGCTGATATTACAATTACCGTCTGGTAATTAAAACTTTCTTGTGGCTTGGCTCTGGTGCTGTGTTGTGCAGCTTTCAGACAGGATGATTGAAATAAAAGCCACTTTTTGAAAATATTTTCTGGCATTTGTAAATTCTTTGTCAGAAAAAATGATTAGAATTGAAACTGGTTTGAAAACTTCTTTTAGCTTCAGTTACTTCGTTACATCTAGATGTGTAGCTGCTGTTTGTTTCACTGAAAGCTGATGACTGATGCACTTGAAGCAGGAGTTTCTGGAAGTTTTTTTAAGAAGAGGCTTTACAATCAGCGTCACTATGACAACGGAGACATTATGCTAACAGTGTGCTACTTGAGGAAACTCTGAACTGTCCCTTTAAGAGCAGAGTCCTGAAGCTTTCTAGGGTCCGTTCCACGAAGGCCGAAAAGCAGCAGGTCGGTACGTAAAGATGGTGGAAAGCAGGGGAACACAGTGGTTCACACAGCCTTTATCCAGCGCTCTGCTCGGCAGATTTGATCTCCTCTCCGGAGTTCCTGAGCATGTCTTTATTTTTAGCCGGAACATGGAGGATCGGGCCCGTTCGGGGGTTTAAAGCTCTAACGGGAGTCTTGAGACTTCAGACCTGAATGCAGTTCTGCATCTGCTTGAGGGTCAGCGGCTGGGCCCGGTCCCACGCCCTCCCCTGGTCCGCTCACCCATCTTTGGCCTGCTGCTGGTGCACCAGCCTCTCTGGGGATGAAATCACCGTTTCCCTGGAGAACTCAGAAACAGAGCGGCCTTCCAGCAGAGCCATCTGAAACTTTTCCAGCGCGGCCTCTTGGGGAGACGCTGTGCTGCAGTTTTTAGCTGCTGCTTTATCTCATTTGTGAACAGATTATTTTTAAGCAAAAGCCAAGAAAGAAGTCTTAACCTTTCAAATCAGGAACTCCATGTGTCTTCATTTATTTAAAAAAAACAAAACAAAGTGTGCCAAACTCAAGGCCTGGGGTCCAAATCCGGACCCCAATACTTTTTAGGTGGCCTCCAAATTCCAGAGCAGTAATGTCCAAACTTTTTTAGTTTTAAAAACTAAAACTACCAAAATGTTGTCATTGATTAACATGAGCTCTTTTAATTAAACAAATAATCAGATTTCTTTGTATGAATTGGATAGTAGATCCAAAACTTTAAATGTTTTTTCCTTGTTTGCTTATTATTTTGGGCTTAATGGAAGAAAAAACAAAAAATAAATAAAAAATAGTCCAGGGGCCTCACATAAATAGCTAGACAACAGTTGTGTGTCTAAATATTATTTTGTCTGTCAAATTAAATCAGTTTTATCTGTATTCTGCCAAATTACATTAATGTGAAAAAAGTTAAATATTATCTAACTTTAAGAATTACTAATTGAATGCAGAGACACCTGTTTATTTGGTTTTATCGATACATTTAGCCACTGCTGGCCCTTTGAGTGGATTCTGGATCTTGATGTGGCCCCTGGTGAAGCGTATAGAAAGTGGTTGATGTAAATCAAGACGGCTCCTTTGTGTGATTTGCTGTCAAGCTGGGAGTGTCACATCTACTCTGCATTCCTTAACCTGCGTCATATATCTAAATATAAGCATGGAGCGTGCTGCCTACAGTGACGACCATCCCTTAGCCAGGTAATTTGACACACACAGAGGGTTTTGTATTTTGCCTGCTTTGTTTTTCAACTGCTCAGCAAATGTCAGCGAGCAAAAACCCCAGCAGACACTGGGAGAGGCGTCCTCTTCACAGCGAGGTATCCCCGACCTCCAGACCTCTGCAGGTTTACTCGCAGCATCTCCGCGGTAAATCCAAAGCTAATGGTTGTCATAGTGACAACGATTGTAAAGACTCTTCTTAAAAAAAAAAAAACTTCCCACTTCAAGTGCATCAGTCAACGCTTGGCTTAGCAGCCACAGATGAGCTTTCAGTGGGAAACAAGGAGCAGCTACAGGTCTAGATGCAACAAAGTGGCTGCAACTGAATGTAAAATAGGGTTTAAAAAATTTGGGCTGATATTGATATTGACATTGGTGTTATGTAGGGATGCACTGATCCACATTTTTCACCTCCAATACAGATATCTGAGGTTCAGCATCGACTGATACAGAAAAACACTGGGAAATTGACTTAAAACTAGGAGGGGGCTGATTTTTTTCGTTTTCTTTTAAAGATCTATAGTCAGGGATTGGACAGGAAACTACAATTGCACCCTGTTTTTGTTAAACAGAAATTAACTGAATTACAAATTAATTTAATAATTCTGCACCGTTACATCACACTTAAATACACCAATAGTTTTAAACATGTAAAAACAACTTTCATTTGTTCAGTCAGTGCAATTAGGAGAACAACAACGTAACATAAGTAATAAATAAAATGAAACTGACAAAAACAAACTTCAAATGGCTCAGAAAGTGAAATTAGGAATTCTAAATATAATGTAAGATAAATAATAAAGCATGACGCTACTTGGAGCATAAAGCACAGAATTAAAATGAATAGATCCACCCACATTGTCACTGATACCCAATCTAGATATTAATAATATCGCCCCAGTTTTACCTGTCGGATCGACACTGAAGTGTTTCAGATCATGAAACAAATGTTTATCTGAAACAGAGAGAACCTCAGAGAACATGAATCAGTTTTCAAAAAGTAATCACACTTCATCAAGTAACTTTAAACTGGTCTGACTAGAACCTGATCTAGTCCAAAAGATGTCACTGACTTATTTAAGTTTACCATGAAAATCTAGATTTTCCAACTGGTGTTTTAGTTTATCAGGAATTTTTTAGTTCTGATCCAAACTGGGACCAGTGCCGGTTTAGCAGGTTTCTTCACTGCACCAGAAATGATTTTCTCCCACCAGAAAAAAACTACTTTTATTGATGCAGCAGTACAGAAATCCCTTCATCAGGATCTGCAGGTTGTTGAATGACAGCCGATCAAAACGTTTGCTCTGGCTAAACTACAATAACAGCTGAAATAAACGGAAATATTTTCTGATGCAGGAAGTTTTAAATTATTCATGAGGTTGTAGCATTTTGTATAAATATCTCCATAAATTATGTAATAAACTAACAAGCAATAGTCGAAGGTTACAAAAAGGTTTATTTATGGGTAAAAATATGGATTCATTGGTTAAAACAAAAAAACAAAAAATCAGCTTTTAGCCTAAATAAAGGTCATGACCTCCTTTTCCTTCTGAAGTATTTTCTTGAGCTCCTGCTCTGCCTCCAGCTTTCACCACACTGACCCCATCAGGTCGGTTTGTTTTGATATTTAGGAGCTTCGTATGTTTGGTCGTCCAGCTAGAAAATGGAGCCCAGGCGGCCGTTGCTCTCATTTGGCCTCCATGACGGTTTTTCATCACTCGTAACTCTCCTGTGAATTGTCTTGTTTTCCCCCTGAAATGAAACGGTTGTGTTGAGTGTTTTCCAGGGTTTTTCTTCTGTCAGCTTTCTGTCCAAACACCAACATGTCCTAATTCCTAGCAGGGCTCTCCTCTTTCAGCCAGTAATCATGTCTGTCCTGGTTTTCCTCTGTCTTCGAAGGGAACAGCAGCCATGGACTGAGGAAAAACGGCCGGGGTTTAGATTAATATCACAGCTCAACAGGTGACCCTTGACCCCCTCCGTCCCTCCTCCAATCTCTCTCTTTTCCTCAGTTTATCTTTATCGCTTTGTCCCTCGCTCGCAGAGACCAACAGTTCTCCTGTTTCTGTAATGTTCTTGGTTTGTCTCTTGTAAATCTCCATCTGATTTTTATCATCTCAGTAATCCTCTCTTTTCTTCTTTGGTGAACTAATGTAAACATCCACAGTCTGAGTGTAGTGGATGGATTTATTTTCCCTCTTTTTGCAGTATTTCATTCAGCCTTTTAATCTGTTCTTTCTGAAACAATAATCATTTTTCTCTTACTAACCAAGCGTTAGGACTGTTGGCCAGTGCGGCTTAACAAAATGGCTCCTACTTAATATTTTCTTCCCTTCAGCAATTTGACTTCTTAATTCAATTGCATTCATTGTTTTTGGCTTTGTTTAAGAATAAAAGCTAATAATTATTCAGTTTGTGTAGAGAATACATATAAATTACGTTTTAAGTCTTATTTTTGTGAATTTTATGTGACGTCTTTGTTATAGTATTACTATAAAATGTAACTACTTTTTGTGCAAAAGTGAACATTTCCACAAAACTGCAGATAAAAAAGATACATTTAGATGTAGATTGGAATATATCTGTGAATTATTCAAAACTTTTGAATTTCTTTTGATTTGTTATGTAATGTAATGCTAAATAAAACCCGCCTGTTTGCAGTCGATGGTGTAAATAGAAGACCTTTATTTAGATTAATGATTAAAACGACATTAAATAAAGATGTTGGATGTTTGATAGGAGCGACACGTGCAGCTTTCTGATTATTAACTAATACTGGAATGTATAAAATACGACTCAGGAATTATTTCCTTCATCTCAACAAAGTGAGATGAGATATTCCTAAATGCATCAAAAATTAAAATCTATTAATGTGTTCACATGTTTGAACCTTTAACAGACACAAGTACAGAAGTAAAGATTTCAGGTTCGTCTTGTCTGACCTACTTCACCGTATCTGGACAATAATGCATATTGGCCCGGTTCACACAAACATGGAGACGCTTTGAGAAGCTGCAAATGGATTGTTGGTGAGAAAAAAAGGATAATAAAAATAGGAGGGATACGCTTATGCATGTCGCTATGTTTCAGTTAAACTTTAAAAATAATCTGAAGAAGAAGAAGAAAAACGTAAATTCTGTCAAAGAAATGAGTTACATCTGTTTTTAAAACAAATTTAGCCTGGCACTCCTTTAGCCATGCAGCAAATCTTCTTTTGACTCCTGACCTTAAACAGCAGTGAGGATGGTAATCCCACAGAACTTCCACCCGTCCGTTCGTCCGTCCATAGACATCGTAATCCATTTTATTTATGGTTTCAGTTTTGTGTGGTTTTATTTCCGTTTTATTTATTGTTCTTGGTTTTATCTTGGATATGTAAAATATCTTCCAGTTCCAGTGTTAAGAGTTCTTTACAAAGTTAAAGTTTATTGGTCTTTGAGAGGCTGAACTGATGCCATTATCAAATGGAAGTGGTCACAAAACAACAATATTATCATTTATCCAACAATCCTCCAACCGTATTTATTATCATGACAACAGGTTTAGTTGTTAACAGTTAATCTGCTGGTTGTGAAGTCTGAACCATCTCTCCCTCCTTTACCTAGCAATGAGCAAAATGTCAACTATTTCTTTACTTTATTCAAAACAGTTCTCAACTGTTGGTTATTTGATCACTTATTACCTGTGTCTGGATTAAGGTTCAAACAAAATTATATTATGAAAAAAAATCCTTTTCACTAACTTTCCAAACTGCACTAAATGACAGTAGTTACGTTCCATTGGTGACTATATATTTATCAGACATGTCTTGCTTTGGGGTGAGTGTTTGGTCGGAGAGGCAGTTTGTGTTTTGCTCACAGCGTGCTGCTCGGTTAGTGCGATCCTGTGAGGGTGTAAGTGTAAGGTCAGCGTGAGCCTGCAGAGAAAAGCCGCCTGCGTGGAGGCAGAGAGGAAGCGGAGTGAATCACTGACCCTTACGGCCTTCACAAACCCTCCTGCCTCTGTCCAAGGTGCTGGAACACTTGGCATAACTCTCCTCTTCCTCCTACTCAGAACCAACTCGGACTCTGCTCTGCATACGAGCGCTATGAACCCAAACCCTCAGGACCCCTTCGGCATGAACCAGCAGATGGGCCGAGGTCCTCCGCAGCGCAATGGTGAGAGTAACACACTTACTCACTTCAGTTTTTACTTTCTGTTGTTTTTATTCATTTTGTTTGACTGTATTTTCATGTGAGAAACTCCTTTGACCTCACTGTTTTGTTATTTATTTTCAGTGTATAGTTTAAAATTTCAGAGCCTGCAGATATTTTCTGCTCCACTGCTTCTAAATAAGAAATTACCCCAACAGCTAAAAAAACCCCTAAAATAAACACATTTATTTTTTATTCTCGGTTTCAGATACTAAACAGATATTATGAATTATCAGAAACATCCAGAGTGAAACTGCATTCCATTAGAAACATCCTCCTTAAACGTTTTTGTTCACAAAGTCTAAAATTAACCGTCCTTTGACAAAAATACAGCAGTAAAACGCTTATTTGAATGAATCAGTAATGCTTTTAAAATCTTCTAACAAACATTTGAATTTTAGTCAAAGTTGTGTTCAGGTAGCAATGCACCAGAGTATTTCAACTTCCCAAGCTGCATTTTCATGCAAATATTTTATATATTTTCTGGCAATAAATAATCAGTGAAAAATTATTGCTGATTATTTTCTCATCTATTTCATCCTGAAGTCCAACAAACTGAAATCAGCCAGTTAGCTACTGAGGCTATCTGCTCTGTTGCTAGCCTGTAGCCCGCTGCTTTACAGTGGCATGGCTCACTACATATTTAATTTTTATGAACAGTCGAGTTTATCCTTCTTCAAAGAAAGTCAAATGTACAGAATTTGACCTGATTTTGGTTGGACTTCAATGTCAAAGTTATGAACCCTTAAGCGTGAAAACCTGGAATATATTTCTGATCATAATGTTGAGCAGAAAGGCTAGAAATCAGGTGAGGGACCGAGTCCTTTAAACTGGATCCAAAATCTCCTCTATTGTCTCATAAGACGGTTTTTTACCACAAGATGTGTGTTGGAAAACTTTAATAACTTTTTAAAGTTCAAATGTACTTCTGTGTCAAATTATTTCACAATTATAGATCCTCTTAGATCAGGGTTTTAAACTTGACCGAAGTCAATGACTGATGTTAATCAAGTTTAGCACTTATGGCATAAAAATAATAAAAGATTTCTGTATCCTGATTTTAGCGCTAATCCATGTTTGTCCCATAAAAAGAAATGAAACAGTTATTTTCTAAACCAAACTCCATCATTATGTTGTTTTGTGATTTGTGGAACATAAAATAATACATATTTTCATAATAATACATACCCACATGTGCAGAATGCCTCAGAACTGTCAGAGGAATCTATAAATCTGGGGAAAGGCTGGAAAGTGAACCACAACACGCTCGGCCTTGCATGTGTTTCCTGCTGTCAGACAAACTTTCTGTGTGTTTTGTCTTTTGTGTGAGAGAGTGTAAACGACCATGAGGAGCAGGGCAGACATCACATGTTATACCATGAAAGAGTAGGTGGAATGTTATCGGCGGGTCACGCAAACCGCCGACCAGGACAGGAAACAGCCATCTGGGAGGAATTTCTCATTTTATGGAGAAATTTTGCCGCATATTCAACATCTTATCTCTAAAATCAACTGCAGTGGCGTTCGGCTTGCAGGCAGCTCCTATGGTTGTTATCATCCAGCTTTATGGTGTTTGTGTTTCTGTTCTTCTGGTGACTGATTAACAGAGAACACAGTCCATCCAGGCAGCTTCTCTCTCTGCTGGTCCGCACATCTCCAAACCTAAAAATCTAAGAATCCCAGTTTCTGCGTTAGTTCCCGGGACAAACCTCAGAGATTTTCAACCCTTTTCTTTTTCTGACATTTCCTCTGTCACTTCCCAGATAATCCTCCTTTATTTCAGCGCATTCAAACTGGATGTTACCTTAAGAATGAGCTTCTGCCACTCCGTCTGAATCGAACCTGTTCAGAAAGATGAATCACAGGATGGTGTGTGAATGGGTGACCTTAGACCCAGGTGGAAGTACCGGTCCGTCAGTGTTCAAACAGTCGATGGAATCAAAACGGAACATGCTGCTTTTGTTTTACTAACAAAGGAAAACTAATTAATGGTCTTACTTAGAAGTTTTCATCTCTTTAAACATTAATGGTGACTTTACTGCCACCTACTGGCCTAATGTGATTATTTAATTACTTTTTTGTTAAAAGCAGAATAATACCAGATATATTTTTGTAGTTAAAATGTGGATATTTTTTCCCATCTGTATTTTTACTGTAGATTCAGATTAGTACAAACATTGTTGGACTCTTCTTCACATCCTCGCCTTTCTGAACAGCTACAGGAGAAACTGACTGACTGCCATGAAGTAAAACAGAGTGACACAGGAAGTCATTCCTGCCTGCCGCAATGAAACTTTATAACCACAACCTCTGACTGAACTCTTTCAACCTCAATGGAAATATCCTCTCATTCTTTCCTTTTAAATCTTCAAATTTATTTTTTATTTACTTCCAGTAAGGTTCCTGGTTTGTAATGTTGAGAATTTTCCTGTGGGGAACAATAAAGTATTTCTGATTCTGTTTTTAGTCCAAAGGATGTTCCTAAAAAAAACCTTCCTGATTAGAAAACCAGGAATGCTAAAAATGTATTGGTACATTTTGACGGCCATGTTTCTCTTGTGAAGTACAAAGAAATGAGATCAGGAAGGCATCTCTGAAGATTACACTCAGCATCAAACCACTACATTTGTAATTTGTTTGATTTCTCGGTTCAGATCTGCTTATTAAGCACAATCCATACCGTTTCAAACAGCTTGAGTTCAGAGGTTCAGGATTTCAGACACTAAATATGTTTGGGATCAAACAAAATGACAAGATTCTTAGAAAGGTGGTGGAGTCGAAAGTCTGAAGTTTCTCAAAAAATAAACTTACAAAGTAAAGTAAAGATACTCAGAAAACATACTTAAGTACAGTACTCAAGTAAATGTACGATGTTACTGTTCACCAGTGGTCCATCCAAACTTCAACACCTGAAAAATCTCAACAGTTTCTTCAGAATGTGTCGATATAAGTCAGCAGAAAAGAGGAGTCAGAAAAAATCCAGTCCTTCAAAAATAAAGAATAGTCATGATTTAAGCAGCTCTCACTGTGTTTTCACACCTGATGGCTCCGTAGACTTGCTTCGATTTGGGACAAAATTGCAACATTTGTTGCATTTTCAGCTGCTGTGGTTTGTTTTCACTTCACTGCGTCAAACAAACCAAAATAATTGAAAAACATGTTCCCCCCGTCGCTGCACCAAGAACCAGTGAAGGAAACGACACAAAAATCCTCTGAAGACACTGGGCGCAACTTCCTTCTTCAGGAATGTAAGCAAAAATGTAGTGGCGTCAGATTTTAGCGGTTGGAGGATTTCTCTTTAGCTTTTGGTAAAAGACCATGAGCCACTCTTCTGCTAGTGCTAGTGCGTTTATTTTGGTTGTATTTACCCAGAATGCCCTGCTCTGTAGTTTTGGAGCGGTCTCTAGTCTGCACCAGAGTTCACTTCAACCAAACCGAGACCGAGGTTTGTAGGCATAACGGAGTTTGCATTAGAGTTCGCATTCACACCTTCCCAAACGAACCGGACTTTCCAGGCCAACGGACTGGAGTTGGGTTAAGGCGGACTGAGCAGGGATGGTGTGAATGAACCCTTAATATCACTCTGTGCGATACAAAGGCAGCTCTTGTTGGAGAGCGAGCGGCTCTTCCTCATGAGCTGACGTGTGAGCGCGCCGAGCTGCAACGCCCCGGGGCCTCGTTGACACCTCTCAGGGTTCTAGCCGGTTTGGAGTGGAGTTAAGCCCCGGCTGATTAAAGAAGCAGCTAACTAGAAATTACGACACTGACTCACTCTGCCCTCCGGGAGGAAACACCTCCAGTTCTGCTACACTCTCTGATTTTCCTGCGTCTGGGAAATGAGCAGAGATCTAACATTCGACCCCGCAGCTGTCAGGCTTTTGGTTGGTGCAGACCACGTTTTAGCATCTACTACCTCCATATTGAGTTCTTTTCTGCCAAGGACACAAGCCAGCCATTTTCCATCCCAGTTGTCTTGCTTCCTCCTAGTTGCAAATGTGAGCAACAGTGAATAAACACGGTGGAAGGGGGGCTGAGGGCTTTAATGGTGGCAGTATTGTATCACCTCATTATCCCATCTGCAGCAGAGGCAGAAAGGGAAGTGTCTGAAATGAAAGACTGATTTCATGCACTACAAAAACACCAAATCTTACTAAGTATTTCTGTTTAGTTCTTATGCAAATACCTTGGTACATTTGAAATAAGACAAAACTAACTTTCAAGTAACTTTTCAACGAGATAAAGGAGTTTAAGTCGACAACTCCTTTAATACTGATGAAAAAGTGCCAGATCTGACATACTATTTCACTTATAGCAATATAAGTGAAATTATAAGTGATATGGGGAAAATGTCTTGTTACAGTCCACCAGTTGAACTAGTGTTTTCACCAATATTAAAGCTGTAGTTTTGTTTACATATTTGCTAAAATGATCATTATGTCGTGACAGTGTAACATAAGACAAATAATCTGCGAAAAACTCAACCTCCTCTGTCTTCTCCCAGTGCTCCCAGTACAAGCTGCAGAAACACACCTCTCATTCAGAACAACCTATCAGAGCCAGGAGGCAGGCCTTAGCGCTGTCAATCACTCTCATGCTCACACCCTCCCACTTGCTCTTTGCTACACTACAGCTGATTCACCACAACATGGTCTGCTACCAATGCTAAGGCTAGTTAGCGTAGCCACTGATAACTGAGGGTAAACGGTTGTCCTGTAATAAGTTGTTTTTCCACCATTTGCACATTGAGCAGCGCGTACATGTGCTGCTCAATGTGCAGCACATGTACATGATTGATTGATATGTCAGTCAACATGTCAATCATGTTGATTGACATGGTGACAGTTTTAATAGATATGGAAAAAACATTCTTATAACATGCTGGAGCTTTAAGGAATTATTGACTTAAAACAAGCTCCTATATCTTGCTGAAAAGCTACTTTTAAGTTAGCTTGGTCTTTTTTCAAACTAGAGCAAACATTTCGGGTAAGATTTTGTGTTTTTGCAGTGATGGAGGAAGAAGGAATTAGCGGTTAGGGGATCAAAAGAGGAAAATCGGATTTATTTCCTAACAGAAGTGTTGAGCATGAAATATTCATCAGAATCAACCAAATGAAAAACTAAACTAAAATTAACCTGCAGTAAAGAGGAAGAATGTTCTCTTTGAAGCAGAAAAACAGAGTTTCTCTCTGTTTTCGTCTTTCTTTGATGTCCGAACCAACATTCCTCATCTTTGATTAATAACGGCGTGCCAGCTGCTCGGTACCAGTTAGCATGTTAGCATGCTGCTCCTGTCAGGACTGCTGAGCCAGACATGGTGGCATTCTTTACAGCAGGTGGTTCTAATTAAGCATCCTCTAATCTTCCTCTGCTCTGGTTTTCTTTATGTCTTTCCTGCTGTTGTTCATGGAGGCTGGCATGCAGCTAGTGTCAACGAGGCCGACGTAGACGGCAGCGGAGACAGTGGGTTCACATTTCTTACTCCCTTTCTAATATAATTGAGATTTGTTTTTGTTTTGGTTAATTTGCATGTTTCTCTCTGCAGTTTTTTCCTTTCCTGCTCTGCCGAACGAGGAGAATCTGATGGGCGTTGGGAAACCTCTTCCCAAGCAGCTGTGGGAGGCCAAGAAGGTAACGAGGTTTTACTGCTGCCTGCATGAAACAAACAAAAAAATGTTTTAAAGTGATTCTGTCTTCCCTCAAGAAGAATTTAAGTCATTTGCTGAGCAGATGTTTTGGTGAAATGTTAGTAACCAAACTTAAACCACAAAATGTCATGTTTATTTATGCATCACTTTGAAAAATGGTTGATCAAAGTGCTGCACATCAAATACAACACAGGATAAAAACAATTAAAATCCTACAAACAGTCAAATCTCCTGCTTGGTTAAAAGCAGAGAAATGAAAGTGGTGAGTTTTTAACTGGTTATTCCAAACAAATTGATTGTTTATTTGAATAGGACACATACAAGAAGCATGGATCAAGACAATCTAATTCCTGCATCACAATATTTATAGCACAGCTAAGGGCCTTTAAATGAAATGTTAAAACAATACAGTAGAAAGGTCAAAATAGATACAAAACAATGTATTTATAGCTACTGCATCAAGTCTAACAACTTGATCGTCCATGTCGTCACAAAAAGTGTCTTTATCCTGTTTTTGTTCATAAACTCAAACTTTTTATGATTTTTGAGTTGTTGATTTTAAATGTAGCTCAGTAATTCAAAAGATTTTCTTGGTGATACTGAGATTTATTATTACATCTAAGATGGGTTAATGTAATGTAAAATAAAAATAAAAAACATTTTAGCACTCTTCAATATTTTTCTGTTCTAAAAAACCTGGGTTTCATAATTTACTTTTTTAAAAATGATATTAAACTTACAGATATGAGCACTAAGCTTTAAAATATTCTAGCATTTTACAGTCTTTTCATACACAGTCCACCCCTCCTCTGACTGCACCATAATTAAGCTTTTTTAAAATTTTGAATCTGAAAAATTTAAAGTCAGTGTTAGGGTAATCATAGACTCAGTCTGGATCTCCAGTAGCAGTCAGTCTGGCAACTAATCTGAAGAGGCCTCTGACTGAAGAGGACATGCTAACAGCTTCGTTTCCAGGCAGCAGAGACGATAATCCTGAGTAGTTTGTCTTGGATGACATCATCAGTTGTTAGCGCTGCTAATCCAGCTCGTTTGCTTTTGCCGCTCCTCTTTGAATCTTCCTGGCCGTGTGGTTAGAAAGCCGGACGGAGAGATGCTTGAGCTTCCTCCTCTCTCTGCTCTGCATCCAGGAAGTCTCTGTTTCAAATCCTCTGGAATTTGGGGTCATAGTTCAGATATTAGTTGAGCCTTTGAGATGCTAATCAGCTTCTCCCAGCTGTATAAACAACACCTTGTTGCTATGGTTGCCCACCATAACAACTGTACCAAAGTCATAGGAAGGTAATAAGAATTTATTAATTTATTTTGTGTAATGAGGCATAATAAAAATGTCTGTTTCATTGCTGACCAGACTTCAGCAGGTTTAAGTTCATGATTAGAAACATGTTTGTAAGCCTCGCTGTGGTTTGTTTTGACTGGACCAGTGTGGAGATGTTTGGGTTTTACACCTACTGCTAACCTCTTACCACCTGTGAAGCACAGCGGTGGAGGCATCAGGATATGGGCTTGTTTAAAATAGCTGAACTTTGACCCAAATCGAGTCATTCTGTAGTGGAGCGAAATTTATCCAAACACTGTGAGACGGAGACTGCTGAGAGTTACTGCTGCTAACTGTTGCTGACTCATGGGGTGTACTTAGTTTTTCAGACTGTGATTTAAAGCTTCAGCTTTATGTATTTATGACAGCGTGGAGTCTGTGTGTTTTATACACTTTAGATTGGATTTAACTCATTTTAGAACCTGGTAAACACCAAGTTCATTTTATCCTGTTCTGATACCTAAAACCTCAGAACTGGCAGAGGGTGTACTTTCTTTGTACAGACTGTTTTTTTTTTTACTTTTTCTCTTTTTTCTTTTTACAGTTTCCTCTTTGTTTTTCTTTTTCCCTCTTTTCCTTTTAACAATTTTTTTCTGTTAGCCTTTTTTTTCTTTGTTCTTTTTAACACTTGTTTGTTTTTCAGTTTCTTATTTTCTTTTTTAATGAGAAATGTCACCAGAGCTATAAAAATTACATCAAGGCTCTGGTTTAGAGATGGGTATTTATCGTATCTTTTATCTTATTATTAGAGTTTTGATTTAACATTGTCTCAATAAATCCCAATTACTTATTTAAACTCCCAAAACTGTCCAAATTGCTATTTTTACTAACTTTTTTCCACTGCATGCCAGTAAATTTGAAAATATGAAGATATAAATCAGACTTCTTTATGTGACTGGTCTCCTGCAGAAGCAAATAGGAATGTTTTTCAAGAGCAGTATTTGTGTTTGTGCTGTCACAACCTTAGAGCTACCTAAAAAACAATCAATAAATTGTTATTGTTTTTCTTGTTATCACAATAGTGCCACAAAATATTGTGATAAAACTTTAAGTCCATATCACCCACATCTACTCTGGTTATCTTTATATCCTGATATATAAATTCAGAGTCAGTCTTTGGTGCACGTTTCCTCTTGTCTGAGGAGAGCATTTAATCTGGAGGAGAGCATTTAATCTGGGTGGAAGCTTTGAGTCCAGATTCCTGACTTCTGTCATCATCCTCGTAGAAACCTGAAGTGAATTCGATGCGCTGCCACTTTAAGAGCGGTCTGTGAAGCGACGCCGAAGCGCCCGGGTCAGTTCGGGTGATCACAACACCTTAAATTCCTGCCGTGACTTGGCAGAAACATGTTCCCCCACCGGTCCAACCAGTCCTTCCTGTTCCACTCTAAACAGACAAAACCGATCCAGACACACATTTCTACAATCCCGATTGTTGACGACAGCACGAGGTATTTCTCTGGCTTCAAAGAAAGGCAGCCGCGGCTCCAGAGCGCTGCGAAGAGCTCCTTCCACGGGCGGTTCTCGTCCGCTGAACCTCAGCGTTCAGGGGTTTGCTCTCCTTTCCTGAGTCATCGATTGGTTCCCCAGAACTGAGTCCAACTGGGTGTCTTCTCTAAAAAAAAAACACACAAAAAAAAAAAAAACTCCCACACGCAGTCCATTGATTGTGAAACCACGGCCCATCTGGGTTTCCCAGTAAGCTCACTGCAAAAACACAAAATCTTACCAAGTATTAGATTCTAGAGCAAATATCTTAATACACTTGAAATAAGATAAAACTAAGTTTTAAATGACTTTTCATTAAGAAATATGAGCTTGTTTTAAGTCAATAATCCCTTAATATTGATTGAAAACTACTAGTTCCATGGGGAGATTATTATTTCACGTATAACAAGATATTTTCACCATGTTCAGTGAAATAATCTGCCAGTAGAAGTTTAACTTTTTCATCAATATTAAGAAATTCATCATTTGTGATTAAATGATGAACTGGTCCCATTCCGCAAACCTTCCAGTTCAACAAATTCGATTTCAAATTCCAAAAATATTTATCAGAATTATCGTTTTGTTTATTCTAGATAAGATATTTGTCTTTCCTGTTGGCCCTTATCTTTAGATTATAACTCCTATTTTAATTGTATTCTTTATTTTAGTCGAATTAATCAATGCTTAACTTGTGACGCATTCTGGGAAACTTTTGTTTTAAACATGTTTCAAGATCAATAAAGTATTTTTGAATTTTCTGTTATTTAGTTTTTCCCTCCTATAACAACTGAAATTAAATATAACTTAAAAATATATTTTATGCTTATGAGACTTAATTTGCTTCTTCTGGTAGTTATGTATTTCTGATGAATCATGGACATGAGAAAAAACAAAAAGGTGGGAATAAAAGACAAATAAAAAATCAGAGAAAAATAAAAATTATGGAGATAATTAATAAAAAGCTCAAATATCTGCATCTCAATCCCTAAAATAGTTTGGTGCAGCATGACTAAACATACAAAGATTGATAATAATCGATAAATTCTGATTGTGTTTCAGGTCCAGTCTCTGGCATCAAGACCGAAATCATGTGAAGTGCCTGGAATCAAGTAAGTCCTCAAAAATTTGCTCTGCACAATTATAGAAATGAATAATTTCCACTCAAAACTCAATAATTAAACTAGTTCAAAATGTACATTTCCTTACTGGAGGAGAGCTAAACATAAAGTCAGGAAAATTATTTTATTTTCCATCTCATAGATTTAGTTTTTAAGCTCAGCTCTACTTTTCACATATTTAGACGTGACTTCAGAAGCCCAACTCTTGCAAAACTTTAGATTTTTTCACTTTACAACCTCAAATTCTGATGCATTCATGTCGATTTCATTGGAAAATATTAACACAATTTATCTATAAGTAATTAATAAATGCACTCCAAACGTTTCAGATGTTAGCCGTCTTTCCTGCCACCCTGTAACTGTAACATCATAACTGCTGACAGTGATTCATGAGTCATAATCTGATTTCACAGAATACAACATCCTCCTCCAATGAGCCGCCAAAGATTCAGGATGTTTGTTTTAATGCAAATTTAAATAAATGAAACAAAAGGATCAGAATCGCAGACGGTCTGCAGCCTGATTTGCTGGTTTCTGACAAACATGCTTTTATGAAAGCAACCATTTGTTCGCTGTATTGTTCTGTCCCTATTCATGATGAGTCATGGTTGATTTCCATAATCACATGTTGGAGAAATAGGAACATTAGCAATAAATAAAAAAGGGACAGTTAATGAATTAAAAAAAACAAGCAGATGAAGAAAGCAGTGGCTAAGCATGATGGCGCGTTAGGGCTATGGAAGATGGAAAAGAGAGCATTTCAGACATTTTCTAGAATTAAGAACAATTCTGAACTGGTTAGAAAAAAGCTCAGAAATTTAGAGCTTAATGTAAAAAAAAGTCTTTAAAAATACTTGGAATTTTCTGAGTTTGAAAAGTTGAAAGTTTGCTAGAAGAAATTTAGATTAAATTTTCTAGAAAGAAGTCAGTAAATTGACTTTTGAAACTTCAGAATTTCCACGTTTTTTTTGAGACTTTCTTTTTGATTAATCTCACATTTTCATGGTTTTTTTCTAGCAAATTTACCAGAAAATACAGGAGCTTAATCTCAAAGTTTCTTTCTTAAAGTTGAAAATCTTCAAGTTCATAAATTCCCAAGATCTTTTCTTGAAAATTTCTGAGATTAATCTAAAAATTTCTTAGCTTTTTGGCGTAAATTTACTTCTTGTTTTCTATCTACAACGGCCCTCGCATTGCTTTGAAATGGCAGCGACAGCAGCTTTTAATAATCATTTTTTCCACAGTATTTTCCCGTCTCCGGAGCAGAACCCGGGTCTGTCCCACTACCAGGGCTCGCTGAGTACCGGTGGCTCTCTGCCGGACCTCAGCAACCTACAGTTCCCCTCGCCGCTGTCCACCCCGCTGGACCCTGAAGACGGCAGTGGCTACCCCAACCTGAGCGGGGGCAGCAGCACCGGAAACCTGCCGGCCGCCATGATGCACCTCGGCATCGGGAACTCACCGGGTGGGTGGAGACTTGCAGTACGGATCCAGACATCTGTTAGAATCAAATATCAGATGCAAACATTTAATTGTCGATTACTGGTTTATTAGATCGAAATTAGTAATATTTGATTAACTAATTGAGTCCACTTAGTACTTCTGTTAGTGTTGTAGTTTGACCGCCATCCAGCAGAGGGCACCGATGGTCATTGTTAAAGTGAAAGATGTAAAGAGATACAAAGATGGTGGCCATACCGGAACAAAAAGAGTCAACAGTTCCTGATCGGGTCCGATATGGCATGAAAAATATGCTTAATGCGGTTCTGTTTAGAAATATAAACTCCTTTTAAGTTTCACCTTAATGGCGCTGATTCAGTCGAGCTGCATGACGGAGCAACGTCAGCTTCTCAACCGAAAATACTTATTTGCTATGGAGGTGAGGATGAGAAGACGGGAAAGCAGAGGCATGGTAATAAAAAGACAAATAAACGTGACGCCAAGCAGCACTGTTGATTTTGAGGACTGTCATGAGTTAATGTACTTAATTTAGTGAAGTTTAACTTTCCTTCAAGAGCCACCACTGACAATACAAGGAGGGTCATATTTTATTCTTTCCTTCTTTTATTTTTCTATTCAGCAACCTAACAAGATCCTGCTGCGTTATATTTTATAGTCTGGTCTAAGTTTAGTAATATTTATGCAAGCAGCATTTAATACAGGTGATACTAAATAATGTTAAAATTTAATGATTTTTCATTTAAAAATTTTGCATGCGATGAAAAATGTATCTCATCATGATATGAAAATGTGGTCAGCCCTCTTGAAACTCAAGTTTTTAAGAAAACAGCCGCTTATCAAATAATCATTAGTCCATAAATAAGATCAGTCAACGTTAGATAACTTCTCTCCCTGTCAGAGGTGGTGATGAAGAACTTTTCTCTGGCTTTCTGGCTCGTCTTCCTCGTGTTTCTGCCTCTTGCTGACATCAGAACCCAAACATGAAGCTTGAAGCTTCTCAGACGTTTCCTCTGTGCTGAGGCTGAATATCTGCTTAAAGAGGAGGCTGATCTGCTGTTGATGGTCGGTGTTGTTGGCTTTAATATTCAGCTCTCAGATGTGAGAACTACTGCTGCAGCATCTCAAACATGCTCCGTGTTTCTGCGCCAGCCGATCATACATTATTAATGCCTTTCTGAGGGATCTCTCTGTCTCTGACTTGTTCACTCGCAGATCCGATCACACCCACTGCTGCTCCCTTTCACTCCTTCCTCTTTGTCTGCACTGTCGGCCTCTCATGTCGGACACAGTTCAGCTTGGCCGCACACCAAAGCCACGCAGGAATTTCGACCCTCTTTTTGGCTCCGGACAATCGGCTCTTTTCTTCCGCGCTCGTTTCCCGTTCACCCCTTCCTTCCCCGCTCACACAATACAGTCCAGTGTTTCACTTTTGAAAATCAGGAACATCCATGCGCATGAATTCTGCTGGTGAATCTGAGTCTTGTCTTTCTGTCCCGGCAGGTCTGTCCTCCTCGTTGAGTAACCCGTCCATCCAGGCGTCCCTCAACAACTGCCAGCTGCAGTCGTCGCTCAGCAACCCGTCCATCAACTCGTCCGTGCGTCTGCCCAGCAGCTCGCCCCGCCGGCGGCCGGCTCCCATCAGCCCCCTCACCCTGTCTCCTGGAGCCGAGCAGCGCAGGGGTCTGTCCAAGCAGCTGTCTCCCACCATGTCCCCCTCGCTGTCCCCCATCACACAGGTACATCAACTTCACACAGAAACACAAGCTGCTTTCACACCATTTCATCCGACTCCAGTCCGGTTCATTTGGGGAGTTGTGAATGCGTGTTCAGTTGAACTGAACTCTGGTGTGGTTCGGATGTAAATGTGAACGCAAGGCGAACCAGAAACGGATCCAAAAGCAGGAAACGAACTATAGCCCAGGGCATTCTGGGTAAATACAACTGAAACAAGTGTGAAAGTGTAGCGCTAGTGGGAGAAACGTACGACAGCGTTGCATATAAAAAGAAAACTAAAACTAAAAGGAGGAGTACATTTCCACCAACTCTAGAAAAAACATGTAAACATTTTTTGGAAATATTTCACTTTTTTAGGGAGATTTTAGAGATTTCCCTATTTTTTTTCTTAAAAATTTGTGACTTTTCAACTCATACAGTTCCAAAGTCTTTACTAGAAAATGTCAGTTATTTTCTCACAAACTTTTGCCTTTTCAAGCTTTGAAAGTTTCTTGTTTTTTTCCAGAAAGTTTCTGAGATCATTCTCAAAATGTCAGTTTTTTGGCGGGAAAATTACTCTTTTTTTTTTTTTTCCATTTCTACCTACAGTTGCTGCATTTCTCTGTCGTAGAAATAGTTTGCGATGTTTTATCAAAGACAAAAGAGAAATCCTACAAATGCTAAAATTTGACACCACTCCTTTTTCATTGAGAAAGAACTTGCACTCAGTGCCTTCATTTGAGGTTTTCCTGTCGTTTCCTTCAGTGGTTCTTGGTGCAGCGCCCCCACAGGCGAGGAGGGGAACAGGTTTTTCAAGTGTTTGGTCCGTTTCAGTGCAGTGTGAAATAAAAGCACAGCAGGTGAAAATGTAACAAGTGTTGCAGATTTGGTCTGAAGGTTTATTCCCACCTGCGAGTCCAATACTCATTCTTCTGTTGAATTATACTGCATTTATTCTATTAGAAGCTAAAAATTTGAGAACCAGTCAACCTTTAGGTTCTGTCTTTTTGGGTCCTCGCTGTCCTCTCTGCAGGGCGTCGCCTTGGATACCAGCAACATGCCGAGGGAACCGCCTCCGCCGTACCCGCTGTACCAGCAGCCACAGCATGCAGTGGATCACGGCCGGCCGCCCCAGCAGCAGCACCAACAACCACAGCAGCAGCAGCACCACCAGCAGCAGCAGCAGCAGCACCAGCAGCAGCAGCACCAGCAGCCTGTCTCCCCTCTTCAGAACATCCCTCTGGACTTCAACACAAGCCAGGTGGGACCTGCACACAGCAACCTCATTCTGTCACGTCTCTGTGTTTATTAAATTGTTCACATTTATGGCGGTTGGCATGTAGACGGTGTCTAATGGTTACTATGGAGACGTGGTGACCCCAAGAGGTCACACTTTGGTGCAGTGACCTTTGGAGGATTGTTTCGTGTCTTTCTAAGGGATCCTACAGCACCTTTATTCACTCATTTTTACACAAAGGGTCTAAAATTATAACTCTTAGAATGTTACTTGAAATTCTGCAGGTCAGAAATGAAACCTGAAATCTGAATCAGGCAGTGAGGGTCTGAGTGGTGAGTCTCTAAAAACATGTAAAATGATGTATAAACGCATCAAATTTAACAGCTGCAGCAATTGCAGCTGTTTTCTGCTGCTGCGTGTCCTTGGGAGCTTTTGCTCCAAATGCGTCATCCTGATCTATTATCAGGTTTCTCTCTCAGCTTGTTGATCTGTTCTTCTAAATCATGTGAAATCTGGCAAAACATGCAGGTCAAAGGCAGAGTTGGGTAATAACTAGTTACATTTACTCAGTAGCTTTTAAAAAAAAAAAAAGTTGTAGGAGAATTTTTACATTAAACACATTCTCAATGATCAATAATAAACATTTAACACTTGAACTGGAAGACATTTTAAATATCCAAAATAAATAAAGTAACATAAACAACAAATAAAATTAATTATGAAGTCTCTGTGAATATAATTATAAAAAAAAAAATTGGAACCAAAGCACCAGACTGAAAACTTTGTTCATCCTGTTTTTAGTAAAAAGAAAAAAAAGAGAAAAATGCAAATGGAAATTATTGAGTTTGTTTTAATTTATCTTGCAATCAACTGACTTACTGCTCATTGTCACAGGCCTACCATAAAAAAACTGAATTTCCACTTTATATCTTGGTCCATCTGATGATGTCATTTTTAAATGATTGATCATTTCATCAGTTGCTCAGGACTTGATAGTATATTTTGTATACTGTTTTTCATTTTACTTGAGTAATGTTTGTTGCAGTAGTGCCACTCTTACTTAAGTAAAATCTTTGGGAACTCTGCCCACCTCAGGTCAAAGGTCAACCTCTATGAATAAATCTGGTTGTGATGAATGAAATAAAACAATAATAAGTTTAAATGTTTGTGTTTTTGCCTCCCTACCAGGGAAACAGCTTGGCGTCGCTCTTCAGCGACCCGTTTGTGGAGCAGCAGTTCTCGACCCGGCAGAACAAGACGCTGCCCTATCAGGTGAGGACAGAAGAGCACATTCGCACAGCTGCAGCCCAGATGTTGAACCCATTGCCACCCAGAGAGGAGCTTCATAAAGATTCTTAATCTGCATCGTTTGTTAGCAAAATGCAACTTTAAGGTTTAGCAAAACGAGCTGCAGACGTTTCTGAAATCAGTCTTAGAACTTCAGGAAGCTGTGATTTGTTGTCATTGTTGTAAATAAAACGCAGTTGGAGGAAACTCCTGACACAGGGAGCGCCGCTGTGCTAGCCACCGCTGTGCTAGCCGCCGTTCTCTGATGGCCATTTTCTTCCCATCTGCTCCCAGTTGGACCAGTTCAGCCTGCTGGAAAACGCTCTGAGCTCCTCAGCAGGGGGGTCCTGCTACGACCCGTCGTCCTCCTCCTCGCTCTACTACTCGCAGGCGGCGCTGTCCGGCCTCGGGGGTAGCCATGGCAACCTGCAGGACCCCTCCCACATGAGGGCCAACATGCTGTACGCGAACTGCAGCGGAGGGCTGCCCAACATCATTCTCACAGGTGAGTCCGACACTGAAAAATGAGAAAAGGATAAAAAAAAGAAATTACATCTCAAACTGAAACGATTAATCACGATTAATCAGTAAATCACGATTAATCATGATTAATTACAAACTCTGTAGTGAAATGTGCATTCCCTCTGGAGGAAACCCAAATTTGGGCGCAGGAATTTCTAGAAATTCAGGTTCACTCCTTTTCATTGGCGCTCTAAGCTGAGCTGCAACTAGAACTGAAATGATTAATCATGATTAATCAATTACTAGTGTGATAGAAGTAAAATACATTAAAAAAGAAGCCGTAGTGAAATAAACACCACTTAAAATGGTTTAGATTACCTGGAGGTTTAAATTCACTTTGACATTTTACATCATTCAAATTGTGTTTGATGATTTGTAACCAGTTAGAAAGTAAAATATTTATGAAACTAGAAAATATTATTTTGCCTTCAAAATATTATTTTAATTGCTGAATTATAACATCATTTAATTTCCCTTTGGGATCAGTTTTTGAATTCAGTTCAGTAATAGAAACAACACAAGTTGTCCTGCAGAGTTTAATTTCAGGTGTAACAGCAGCATCAGGTGGAGGGTCACATGAAAAAGTGCTTAAAATGTTACAGAAATAACAAGATTAACATTAAAACCAGTATTAAATTTCAAATTAACTTCCTCCAAGTGGCTTCCAGGGTTGTTTCCACCAGTAGTTTCTGGAAACCAAAGATTTGTTTTGTTTGGTTGGACGGATTATGAAGCATTCTAGTGTTTAAGGTCTTCCTTCTGAAATAATTAGTGTAAAATCATCCAGTTGATGAGTTTCTGCCTCCTGCTGCTGCTGATGTCAGCGTCGCAGTGAGAGGAAGTGTTGTGACTCTCCCACCTCCATCATCTGTTGTCTCCGTCTCAGATGACTCCAACCCGAGTCTGTCCAAGGACATCAGCAGCGCCCTCTCCACCGTTCCCGAGTGCTTCGACTCGGAGGGAGGCTTCCCGCTGGAGGACGAGCTGCGCATCGAGCCGCTCAGCCTGGATGGACTGAGCATGCTCAGCGACCCCGACATGGTGCTGACCGACCCGTCTGTGGAGGACACGTTCCGCAGCGACAGACTCTGAGCACAGAGCGCCGCCGCAGCCAGCGCCGCCGCACTGGAGATGTGAGCAAACAGTTCATTCTGCTGCAGGTCTGTCATCTTGTCCAAACCATCCAGTTTAAAATCTGATCTGGGATCTGGTTCAGCCCCCGTCCCCTCCTCAAACCAAAAAAAGAAAACAAAAACGAGATCCAGGAGCGCCGGAGTCCCTCCTGCATTTTTTTCCCCCCCTCAGCGCCAGATACCCTGAAGCCATGGAAACACCATAACCATGGTTACACACCATAGCAACCCCATCACCGTGCAGAAGAGCAGCAGAAATCCAACACATAATTTACGTTTTCTGTTGTGGCTCTAATAAAAAAAGGAGCTGGATTCCAGGCGGCGCCGGCAGCTGGAGCGGAAAACCCGGTTTCTGGTGGAAATGAAGAAGAAAAAAACAAAAAAAGGAGGGATTAAACTTTTTCAAATGTTTCTTTACATACGGTGTCAGAATGTTTTGAAATGTGTGCTTATATATATATATATATATATATATATATATATATATATATAAAAGAAAAAAGAGCCAATTAGAGCGTATTTTCAAATGAGACAAAAAGGGCAAACTGTTTACAAATATGAGACTGTATAAAAATGGCGGATATTTTGAATGGATCGTGTCGAGTAAAAGCTCTATTTTTCTCCCATTTTGGACGAACATTCGGGTTCCTTCCTGCGTCATTTTTTTACCTTTCTGTTGCAGATTTTCTTGCCCTGCGTATGATTTTTGTTTTACATTTTGTACCGACTTGTAAATTTGCTTATACTGTACCTGATTGTGAATAAGGGCATGTGCTACTGTGGATCCACTTTCTGTTTTTGTTACTGAAGTTAAAGGAACCCCACCGCCAGAGCAGACTGACCGTGTGAACATCGGACACCATGTAGAAATGCACTTAAAATCTTTTTTTTTTTTTGCACTAATTGGTTCACGTTGTGTAGATTTTTTACACCGTTTTTAACTGATTAACCCAAAGAAGAACGAAGCCATCAGTCAGAGACTTTACTCGACGGCATGCCATGTTTGGTTCATATTTGATGTAAAAAAATCAGATTTTCTGTTTGTGCTCCTGTGATTTCTCCCTATAGCTCATTTCTGCAGTGGGTTATGTAACAGCTCAGTCATGGCGGGCATTGAGCGCCCCCTTGTGTCACTTTTGAAGAAGGGCCTTCGATGTTTGCTCTTTTGTTGTTTCCTATGCAACCTTTTTCCACGTGAAACCTGTTGAACAGGTGCAGCTTTATGCAGTGCAACATGGCTCTCTGGCTCTTTGTCTTTTGTTAAACCTACACAATGTGAGGGATCAAATTATTTTTATCCTAAAAAAACAAATATACTGCATGTGTCCCCTGGCTATGCTGGTGTTTGCTCTGAGAAGAGGTTTGGGTTTGTTTCCAGTCAAACTGCAGCTCCTTCCTGTGCATGTCGATACTCTAGGCTTTTATTTTGAAGGGTTTCTCTATTTTTTGTGGTGTGAAGTTGCTGTTTTCTAAGGGTTTCCTGCTGTCTGCTCGCCTGCCTTCTGTTGCCTTACTGACTCTTTCCTTATTCCAACAGCTGATAATCATGTCTCTTCAGCTTTAGCTCACTTCTAGCTGCCTGTGGTTGTTTTCTGTCTCTACAGTTTGTTTTTGTCTTTTTTTTTCTAGGTGCATATAAAATGTACAGTTCTGTTATTTAAAGAATGTTTATGCCCTTTAGTGTTATTTTTTTTAAGTCATTTGAGTTTTCCCTCAAAATATAAAAGTTTATTGGTTTATAACATGTTATAGTGCTTATCTTTCCAAATTAATATAATCAATAAAAAAAACTTTACCGTGTATGAAGTCTATAAGTTTTGTTGCCGTTATTGGATCTCCCAGTAGGGGGCAGTAGTGTGTAGTTGAAATGCAGCACATCTGTTTGTGACATTTGTTTCTTCAGAACTTTAAAGTTTAATTGGATAAGAAGAAACTAAATACTAACTATTGTTTTTCACTTATAACTTAGGAAAAATGTCATGTTAGAGGGGAAATAATCTGTCAGTGGAACTAGAACACATTCATCAGTATTAATGAATTATTTACCTAAAACAAGATCCTGTCTTGCTGTAAAGTTATTTGTAAGTTAGTTTAATCTTATTTCAAGTGAACTGAGATATTTGCACAAGAAACCAAAACTACTTGGTAAGATTTAGATTCTGTGTTTTGTTTTGTTAGCATGTTGGAGGAGATTTGTTCCTTTTCTAGACTTCTGTTTTTTGGCAGAGATGTTTAATGTTTGGACAATTATTCCCTGTGATGTCAAATGCTGTGCAGCTGTAAGGATTCTTGGGATTACTTTTTATTACTTTGACAGTTGTTATGCTGTGTAACCATGGCAACAATTTTTTTTTGTCTTTTTTAAAAACTGGGAGCAGCTTATTGGCTAGCATTCAGAAGCTAATCTCTTACTTTGTTCATGAAGGGAAAGCATCATATCCCTGCTTGTTTTTTTTTTCTGTAAAAAAATGTTTTACATAAAACATAATTAAGAAATTTACTTATTTTCTTTCTCTAATTTGAGATTAATCTCAACATTTTTGGGGGTGTTCACAACTTTTCACTCAGAATTTTTTTTCCTGTAAATCCTAAAATAAGATGTGATTTGGTGTAAATTTATTTCTAATTTTTTTTCTATCTACACTGGCTCTAATATGCCGTTGTAGATTCCTACCATTGCCCTTTGAAGTAACTAACCGCACCTGGTCAAAAACAACCAATCAGAGCCAGGAGGAGGGTCTTGGCGCTGTCAATCATTCTCGTGGAAATGCGGAAAGACTTAGCATTACATGAAGACTGTTTATCTGCTGTTAGCGGTGGCTATGTTAACTGGCCTTAACATTCACAATGGACTCTGCTGATTGGGGGAGAAGATATTTGTCAACCACCATCATAATTGTCAGCACTAAGACCCGCCTCCTGGCTCTGATTGGTTGCTCTTAATTAGCACTGGGAGAAGGCATGGGAACTTGATGTTTATTTTTTCTTGTGTTAAAGTGGCAGTTTTAACAAATATGTAAAAGGATATTTTTTTGAAAGGTTATGTACTGTAGCTTTAGAGAGGAGAGGCAAAAGCAAATGAGGTGGATTAGCAGTGGTTGCTTACAATAGCTGGTATCATATTTCTATGAAATATCTTCTCTGCTGCCCAGATAGTGAGCTGCTAGCATGTCCTACAGTCTTCAGTCAGAGGCCTTTTCAGATTCGTTGTGAGACTGACTGCTACTGCCAGCTGAATAAACAGAACAAAGGACCCAAAACGCAGCGGAAAACTTACAAAGAAACAAATCTGAAATGTGACGATGCATGTTAATGCTGTGAATAACGGTGACAGAACGTTTCAGTAATCTCAGGTTGGTTTGTGCGATGAAAGCGTATCCATGGATACCGGTCCTTTGTGAAACCTGGACTTTATTTAGCAGGAACTTCTCTGGCCCAGTCCTGAGTCTGGAAGTGGTGAATGCAGCGGCGCTGTCAGCTCTAATTGATGGCAACGCTAAAATTAGAGTCAGATGGCATCAATTTGGTAATGGATTCCTTCTTTCTGCCACCTGGAGGGCAAAATCCGACTCTTTTACTGTTAAGAAATAAGTACAGCTTTACTTAATCACTACTTACAACGCAGGAATGCTCATCTATCATAACCATCTCAAAATGTGCTAATTATTTATAAATCACAGATTAGGTTTTCCAGAAATCTGCTGTGAAACATTAGTTTTAGTTTAGTCATGAAGAAGACATTTGGTTCCCAGTAGCCGTACATTCTCACCGTGACCAGAGTAAAGCCAGGCAGATGGCCAGTGTGGGCTCCTGGAAATCAGCCAGAACTCATTTATCAAATGGAGTCTGGAAGCCAGTTCCCAAAACAACAAAAAAAAAAAAAACAACGCTCAGAGAGAAACCAGAGCGAAGGAGGGAGGGAGGCCATGATGGCGCAGAGCTGGAGGCAGATCGGGATGCCAGGCTGGATCATTCCTGTGAAGGTTGTGTTGGTGTGAGCGCTGTCCTCCAGGTTCCCACCGGCTGGGGGCGGGCGGCGCCGCTGCCCGCCCGCCAGAATCTAATGAGGCTCAGGAAGCCGGTCCCGGTCTCAGAGCGCCGCTTTCAGTCCGTTTCACTGGTTTTAAAGATATTTAGGAAGAAAATGTAAAGGAATGATGGGCTGGAGGCGGGAAATTTTACCATGAAATAATCATGTGAACAGCTTATTGAAAAAAAAAATTAAATAAAATGGACACTACACTTTTTTTTTTTAACAATACACAATAAAAAAAACTAAAATAATTTCATAAGGGCACTTCTTTTAGTCCAAAGGAAAAAGTGGGTGCTCTAGCATCACCTAGTGGCTAATTTTGCCACTACAGTATGAAAATATGATGTAAAGTTAAAAAAAGTAGATTTTACATAATACTGCCCGTTTAAGCATATTTTGTTATTTAATACATTTATTAGAAATGTCTTTTTATTGGGCTGATTTTAATCCTAAATGTGTTTTCATCGATTGCAGGGAGAAAATAATCATTATTAGCAGAAATATAGGTTTGAAAACTTCAGTTTGGGGTAGTTACTACATTTATTGTGCTGTTTCAACTGAACTAAATTACCTTTTTAAAAATATTTATATTTTCTTTCAATGTGAATTGGCACACTAGTCCTTTAATCCTTTAAATGTTCTTCGGGTGATAGAAGGCCGACTTTGTAACTGTCTTTATGTTGCTCTGAATGTTCAGGTCAGAGTTCATCCTGACCTCTGGTTTCTAGCTGTAATAACTGAAGGTTGTTCCTCTTTAGGTTCAAACATAGTAACTTCAGTTTTGTTTCTGTTCAGCTGGAGAAACCTATGACACCTGAAATGATGTGATCTAAGCATCTGTTCAGTGATTGGATGGATTCTGATTCACCTGGTGACATCTTAATGTAGAGCTGTGTATCATCTGTGTAGTCATGGAAACTATTTGGATTTCCTGTTATAACCTGAGCTTGTGGGAGCATACAGATATACATCATTCTCATGAGACTTCTGGGAGCTTTGTAGCTGGCAGTCATCTTGGTAGGCAGTTTCTATGAAGTTGCTATGACAACAATACACAAGCCATAAGCTTAGAAGTAGCTCTCATAACTCTATTGCTCTATTACTCAGTTACAATTTTTGAGTACTCTACCCACCTCAGTGTTATAAGATAAATATTTGTGATATTTTCTGTAGTACTTACTGCCGAGCTAGCAAAGTTAGCTTAGCTAATGTAGCTTTTATCTGCTGGACAAGACGCCCATGCCTACCAAGATGGCGCGGATCACTTCAGTTTGAGACTTGTGGGAACAATGTATTGAATAAGCGAGGTCCCAGGACTGAGCCTGTTTGTGCTGTTATTGTTGT